GAGTGAACTTAAATGAATACCATGACCCAGTTCCTCCCAATGTTATCAAGGAGAACCATCAGCAGCTAGTCAGCAAGGAGGATTAAACTCTCTAGAGCACTTTTCAACCGAGTCTGTCATTACTGCCTAGGGGGTTATGAGACTTATGGGAGGGTAGGAGGAACATTTGGTGATTGTACAAGACTTATCTCAGGAAGTTCAGAGGAGGACCTAAAGTCAGGGAAAAGGAAAAATGAAGATGATTTTGTGGTAGAACAAGTGTGGAAAAGCAGAGAAATAAGGGCATAAAAATAGGCTAGGTACATGTGAACACCTGTGTGGCCACATCCTGCATCTGGTCACCACCATCTGACCTGCCATCTCAGTAAACTCTACTTCTACTTGTTTTCCCGGGCTCACTATTCTGTGTTCGGCTTATGTATAGAGGTCAAGGTGGCAACAACTGGAGTTGGATCACTGGTCACAGGACTGTGTCCTGTAGTGACAGAAACAGGAGTGGGAGAGTTTATCTGTGTGTGGTGACTAAAATATTAAGTTGCAATAGCCAGAGAGCATGGGAAGCGGTTGTGAGCCAGGGTCTGTGTCTGTGTGTTTGTCTGTTCTTCTGGAGGAGTAGACTACTGGAGGGACCAAGGGATCCAGGCCAAGTTTTGGAGAGATCCTGGGGCCTGGAGGACCACCAAAGAGCCCATTTGTGTGTGTGTCTGTGGAGATCTACTAGCACCTGGAGAGGAGCTGAAGGTCTTGGGACTCACATACCTAGCGGCCAGCTGGTAAAGGGATCCATAATATATACACATATCCTGAAAATATCCTGAAATCCATTCAAAAATATCTGAATGGATAGCTTCAAATGAGGCACTTTCCGTAAATGTCGCTTTTATAATAGACTGAAAATTTGGCCATGGAAACATGCATTTCCATTTTATTTTAGTAATCTGGGCTGACACATTGCTATACAGTATGGAAGAGTTTTGGGAGTATGTGTGCTCTGGAAGTTTTATACCTGGTAAATGCAAACATGGTTCTACAAAAGTAATTTTGCTAATGGAAGTTTCCTTCTAAAAGATACTTAAGCTACTAGAGAGAAAGATAAACAGAATGATACTAGGTGGATACCTGAGGGTAGAAACAACTGCTTTGTTTCAGAAAGAATAAAATGAAACAAGTCCCAGATTCCTAGAGTAATAGAGCTGCTGAAAAGCAATAGAAACCTCACTTTCATTTTTTTTTATACTTGGTTTGAGTTTTTATAAGACAATAATATTTACTATTACTAATAGTAATCACAATAATGTTATTAAACAAAGCTGATGGTTAATTCCACAGATGCCTACAAAATAATTAAAAAGTTGTACAAATATTATCACACAGTGCTTGTCAAGCATGGTGTTGTTTAAAAATTGATGCCTTTTACAGTACTGCTATTTGCAAGTAGAATTCGTCAGACATGCACTCAGTAATTATCTTAAAAGAAAGTGTGAACATAAAAGGAAGCTCTGATGTATTCAAACTACTGTATAACTACTAGCATAGTCAGCACCAGCAGAAAATATGTGGCAAAAAATTGGAACTATGAAATAAAAACTAATAATAGAGGAATCTATTATTACAAAAAGTTATCCATATGTCCTTTTATACATTACTACAGAAATTTTCGTTTCCTTAATTTAGAAATGATACCATTGAATTTGCACCTTGGCTTCCTCATTCAACAAGTATGCTTGACTTACTATTTCAAATCACATCATTGTTTTGCTTGTCTATCACTGTCAGCCATCCAAATGCAGATATATTAATAAATGATGCATCCCTTTGACTTCTTCCTACTTAAGCTATTTCCTCTTATTTATTTAAAAGTCAGAAAATATCCTTGCATTGATAGTTAAGTCATATAAAAATAGAGCAAGAATTATAGTATTGTCTCTCAGCTCATTATATGTTAAATTACACATGATTGTGCTTGTGGACTTTATGGCACTTGACTACAAAAGAGACTCTGGTTACAGTTCAGGTTAGATAAGAGAGAGGCAGTTGGTCAATTAATCAAGTGAACAATTTTAGCATCATAGAGCACTAGTCTCTGACTGTCTAAGCTGGTTAAGTCTGTAGAGTAGTGCTACCTTCCTCCAAGGATAGGGTCTTTTTTTTTTATTATTTTATTTTATTTTATTTTATTTTATTTTATTTTATTTTATTTTATTTTATTTTATTTTATTTTATTTTATTTTATTTTATTATCTGATTTATAAGCCAAGACAACTAAAGAGCTAAGTCATATAGGTAGGATATTTTATTTTAATGCCAGATACCTGTACCTGTTTTAATGTACAGGATTCTCAGAATTAGAAAAAATAATTTAATATCTATCATTATGACTGAGAGACAAAGATATTAATGCAAGTTAATGCATAATACTAAGACTTTTCAGCTAAAGAGGTTATTTCTAAAGTTCACTGTGACCCAGAACATGAAGATCCAATACTGGGGAGGGCTTATGACATAAGTTAATTGAGGACCAACGATTTTTATGGAGCAGGTAACAGTATGCTGATCCCTGACATACATCTCAGCCTAAAGAACATCTTTATCATTGGTAGGTTTTTACATAGATTGATAGATTTTTAAATTAGGCTCTTTTCCAATGATTTTCCAAATGTTTTCCAAAACATAAATATTATCTCAATAGACTGCAGTAAATATAATTATCATTTGGTCAATGAATTACCTTAGAGAAACATCTCTTAAATCTGAATGAACAAAGTACTAAGTGCTACAGTACTAGAGGTCAGTATTACCTGCTGCTTTTATATGTCATCATAGCATAAGAAATTAAACTATTTTCTATACAAGTCACAAATATATAAAGGAAATTTTCAGTTTGACAATTTCAAAACTTGAATACACTGATAAGCAATTTATTCTTTTTATCAGTTTTAGCCATGTTTAAATAGAAAAACATATATTTCAGCTGCAAATGCATGCCTTTAATAAAGCAATTCAGAAATTCCATTTAGGGAGCTAACTTTGAGCAGAGCAAAGTGGAAGAAGACATCATTCATGTCCAGTGACAAGTCACTACTTTCACTTTTCTTATACATTGAAATATAGTCCTGAAGAGCCTGTACACCAAGCCCTAAGAAATATGCTGCCTACTATTAATTAATGTAGAAAGGTTAATTGTGCTGTTTCCAGAAACTCAGATTGTCAAATCAAATTTATAACAGATTTAGCTGTTTTAGAATTTACTTAGACATTCTCATCATCTTTTATTTGTTGAAAGGTGATACAGAAATAAAGTTTGTATCAAATAGACCTCACTTATGTAAATTTTAATGTAAATTTTAATAGGGAAGACAGATTTTCATTTGTTTGTTTGCTTGATACAGGATAATAATAAATGAATCTATATTATCTTTTTTTTTCATGAATGAACCATTCACACAAATGATATGATGGAAAATGTTTTACACGTTAAATATTACTCAGAAGTAAATCCAGTTAAGAGTTAAATAAGAGTTAAATACGTAAGACTGGCTCATTAGGAGTTAGCAGTTAGATTACAATAAACAATTTAAATACTTTCAAAGATCAGAACAGCTGTCTGAGTTCAGAAGAATTGCATCTTTTATTCCATATCAACTTTAAATTTTAGGTGCTTTCAGGGAATGTAAGAGATGACTTGATCCTGGAGCAACAGAGTCAGCAAGATATCACCATATTTTTTCTTTTTTAAATCATGTGATAAGTTCTGCTGATTCATGTAGAAATTTGATCAACTTCTGTATTTCCTTAAAAAATGAAGTGTTTTGAGTTGTGAGAAATGATCACTTCAAATAAAGCTTAATGTGCACCCGGAGAGTTAGCAGAAGGTATAGGCACATTCATCTCATGCTACAGTTAGATTTCCTGATGTATTTATTAACAGAAAATGTTGGACCAATCAGCAAAAGTACCTAAATGTGGAGATGCCTCACATATATCAGTAATTTGACATATTACTACTGACAGCTCAATTAAATTAAATGTCACAGACGAGTATTTTTACTGACAAGTGCACTAAATTAAGAGGATATCCACTTAATATTCATCAGTAATTAAATCACACTGAAATATGAGGTGTCTGTCCACCTGAATTACTAGTCCTATTCATAATGTAATCAAAATGAAAAAATATAATTAGTATGTTATTAAATATGCATATGTGTAGGTTTAACCATTGTTATGCTTTTCTTGACTATTTATGTGACATAAATGCAGTCAAATTCAAGGCTGGATTATTTTCTGATAATATGTGTATAATTTTGATCAGAAATATTCTCAAGTAAATTTTAAAAAATAATTAAAAGACACTTATCTTTGTTTTTAGTTGCATGGCCTTAATAGCATTCATTTTATTAATTTTATATGCCTTTCTTTCAACCTGGCAACTCTTTATGAGGGAAAAATTCCCTCAATTCCTGACTGTGATGATAATCTGTGAGAGTTTCAAATGCAAGAATTTGGTTTATTGTTTTTAAATGATATGGCAAAAGCTAGTATCCATTTACTGTGGTTACATCGTCATGTCACAAAAAGCCTTGGGAGAAGGTAATAAAAATGTAATAGCCAGAGGCAGTTTTACAGAGACATCGAACCAGTTTGTGACTGACAGAGAAAAAGTAATCTCTCTATGAGTGTTTGTTCTTGGTATGTCAAGTTTCTTGATAACTGAGGGATTTTCTTTGTTCAATGTAAGCCTTTGGATCTGGTTAGAATAATATAGAGCAAAAGTTACTTCTGGGAATATAACTGGAAACTGGTTGTCACACAAGAGTACATTTTCTGATAGACTGTTGGGCTCCCAGTGATGCACATCTGTCACTTATGTACATGGGTGACAATCTTCCTGCAGTTCACACTACATGAACATGAGGAGAGTGTTACTAGAAGTCTTGTCATTAAGTAACCTAAATAAGCTCTGTGAGAAGAAACCTTTTTTTTTTTTTTCTTTTTTACAGCTGAAAGTATCAGAAGGGGAAGGAGGAAGTCAGAACATATTTGCTAAAGTCGAGAATTGACAATCTACTATTAAAAAAAAGGAAAGAAAGAAAATATAAGCTACAGAAAGCAACAGAACTGTGCCAGTATGGCTTATGGGTTACAACAGCCTTACTTTCTCCCAAATTCATCCTTCTCCAACCTACTGAATCATTCAAAGGTAATATATATTTCTCTCTTTCAAGACCATTTCTACAGCTAAGGTTTAATTTTGTGGCTTTTTTTTTTTTTTTTTTCAGAATGGCCTGAAAATATACTCCTTTTTAGAGTTTGTCTTAACTTCACTGCCAACACTATGTAATATGAAGCATAACAAAGCAAGGTGTATACTGAGAGGGACGGAAAATGAAGCTTTACATGGTCTCCCATCCTCCATGCCCCCCATACTTGGGGTATCAAGATGGCCTCATTTAAAGAAAACTTCATAGAACTGAAAACTTTGAGTAAGACTACTCTGTTATGCTTCTTGGACACTTTGAAAGCTTTCTCTTTCTGTGGAATTTGATTTCTTGAGTTTGCTTGACTGAATTTTGGTTACAATTTAGGCACAAATGGTAAATTTGTTAGGTCATATGAAAACATTGCTTCAGATTGTGCACAAATATATATGTTATATATAATATATATGTATTAATATATATATAAAATGATCTTATGGAATTTGAACAAAGTATACCCAGCACATAATGCATACAGTGATAGTTGCATTGTAATTAGACAGCCATTAACAGGTAGCAGACTGGGAAAAGGTAGTAGTACAACAAGCTATTTTTCCCATGCTGATTACCAAGACATCGGAGGTGCTGCTGCAAATGGAAGTAGAATAGGCTCATTAGGGAACATTAGGGGACAGGACACTTAGCTTGGGGAAAACAATGTATGCAAACTGTCATTGTGTGCTGAACTATTGCTTCAGACTTTCTAAGGATTTAAGGAAGACTTGCTATATGGCGTATTTTTTTCATATATATACACATATATATAAAATATACATATATATTATATACATAATATATGTCTTTAGCCATCTAAAAATACTTGAAACTTGAGAATGTTTTCTTTAATGAGCTTATAGTTTCAGCATAAGATGCCATCTTAAGCAAAAAGACAAAACATATAACCTTGACTGGGAATGATTTCACCTGTCTCTAACCTCAAAGAAGTTTATGCTAAAATCTTACAAGAATGCAAGATAATTGCAGCTTTGTCTTTATCAGAGGTGAAGATTTCCAGCATGGAACATTCCCAGGCATAGTATGGTAGAAAGGCTAAATCTTCCTTTGCGTAAATATTCTGCTTTCTGAATTGGACTAGAATTAGAGATTCTCTAACAAAACAGTTTGTGTCGAACTCTTGGTTGCTTGTGCCATCTCACATAGCTCAACAAATGAGGTAGCAGGTTAGACTTGATTCTTATAAGTCTTGGACTTCAATATGCCTTTGGTTTCTGAAATCCCCTATATGGTTTAGAGAGCCGCCTGAAATACCAGGTGACTCGCTCTGACTTTCCTGACTCCTCTTTCAAGCTTTTGTATAATTCTTGAGAGAAGAGTATTTAATTTCATTTAGGACTGGTCCATCCATTCTTCCTGACGCCATATATCTCATGGTTCATTCTATTATGTGTTTACAAGTAAAGGAGAGCTGATGTGCAGCTCCTCAGGATATTCTCAAAGTCTACAGATTTATGAAGCTTGTTTTCCAACATGGCATTTGTCAATGCTTTGGCTTAAGCAGATATTGTTTAGGGCTGTCAGAAACATTGCTTTTATTCTGACTGTTCTTCAGTTATTCAAACCATGTTAAAGACAGCAGAGTTAATTTAGTCCTCGATGCTGAAGAGAACGTAGACCGAGCACTCATTCAACCTCCATAGGCCTTTGTTGGGTTGATATCAATGTATGCATGTCATGCACAGAGCAATACAAAGTGTTGAGACCTTCTTATCAGAATAACTTATATGATGTGGTCATATATAAAGCATGTAGTCAAAGTTGTTAGAACTTCATTCCATCTCCCAAATAAATGGATAAATACATAAATAAATTAAAGTTCTTATTTAGTCCCTCGTCACCTGAATTTCTTCTTGATTAATTCTTTAGTACATTGCTGTTGATTCAAAAAAGAGTAAATGATAAGAAAATCTTAACTTTGTGTATCCTGCTATGGTAATTGATAGACTCATAATGATAATAATAATAGCTTAGTGAATAAAAAAAAATGAATAAAAGAACATTTTGGAATGCATCTGAGAGGGCTAAAGTAACCGGTATTAGCAAGATCAGAGGACTAATCATTTACCTGTGTACAGACAAGGCTATTGTTTAGCTTTTTATATTGTTAATATCTGTTCTGTGCTTGGAGGGTAAACTGTGTTATTAATCTTTCACATTCCTTGTATTAACTTAAATGTTGTTTTTCTTGCACAGCTCAGCATATCTTTTTTTTTTCAGAACATGCAGAGAGGTAAACAATAAGTGAATTTTCTGGTCCAAACAGAGTAATAATGATTCCTCTGGAAATGTAGACTTGCCAGTGGCATTTGTTCCTTACACTAATGAATGGTAAATTTCTGGATAATAAAAAATATAAAAATAATGGGAGCTGCTAGAGTCTGTATTTGAGTGGGGAAAAAATCAAATAGTTGAAAAAGATTCTTATATATGCCTCCATTAGTTTAAAAAAAGTAAGTTTTTAGTGATTTTTTTTTTAGTTATTTTCAGCTATTGTTATTATTTTTAATCCAGTCACAATTAGGCTATGACTGTAGAAAGTCATATTTTCTTTCTGTAGAAAGTCATAACATATCAAGTTATATTTTCAAGGTAAAATGAATCATTGTAACTGACAGAGAGAAAACAATTATTAAACCATGTGCTCATTTTTATATCTCTTGTTCAAGGTAATCTGTTTAATCACCGATTTCCAATAAGCAGATGAACAATATGTTGGCAATCATTAGTCATTATACTCTTATTTCAAGTCCCAAATACCACTGTGAATTTTAAGGGAATGTTCATTTACAAGTCATAACATTACAATTTAAACATATATATATATACTCTTGGTATGTATATAACATTTAGTCAATACTTACAGAATCAAAAACTATTTAATTAAGGTTTCTGCACATCTTTTTTAAAGAAACTGCTGTCAACATACTTGCTTCTGCAGTAGTCATTGTTCATAGAGTTGTTCATCAGAGTATATTTTTTCAAGTATAGCACTCGTATTTTTCCTGATGATGAATCATATATATAGTATCATAATATATCATAGTATATTATATCAATAGTTATTCAGTAATATATAATATTATGTATGGTATGTAATATATTACTACATCATCAGGAAGAACACATTGTCTTGTTGTTGAGGAAATAACTATAAGAAATTTATTACAACATATTCATTAACTTTCACCAAGTAAGAGAGCAAAGTTAACATTTTCAACATCATATCACAGACTTTTTTAAAATCCTGTATGAATTTAATATCTTTAAAAGTCAATAAAAGTAAAATTAGATAGACATCTTTACATTGTCACTAAATATTTTCAAATAGCTCTGCTGACATATGATCAAAATCTTTTAGGTGAAAAAATACCATTGAATACTATAACACAACCGTATTCTAAAGAAAGATTTCAAGAGTTTGCTCAAGGACATTTGCACAATAACAGGAAAGTTAGATAAGGGGTTTCCTTGGCCCTTGCTCTTCCCTTGTTTGAGTCATAATCCTTTTCTGTATTATAGTCTTTCTATAGCAGATAAAATGATGTCAGAATCACTACTGTGGGTGAATTAGAAAAAAGGGATGAAGTAATGACAAAAAAAGGAAAATATGAAAAACACTTAACAGAGTGGCTGAATATACTCTTTTTCTTGGTATTCTACAGGAGATAACTGAGACTTCTTGTTCCAACACACACACTTTGACTTAAGGAGAACAAATTCACAAAGTGATGGTACAGTATATTTAAGCTTCAATATAAATTTTTGCTGTTTTCGTATTTACTTTGGTATTTATCTGCCTTTAAATTACTTCCTGTTCTAGTTCCTTAAATACGGACACATGAAATTCTTAAATACTATTGTACTGGGCAGTCATTAAAATTTGACCCCAAGGTACACCAGAGAACGAATTTTGGGGGAATGGAAAAACTTTTGTTTCCCATTATATACTTCTTTTTGCTTTTTCCTCAGAAAGCAAGTGTCTTTCTGACCCTTCTAGGGTAATGGTTCTGAGGAAGCTAAAATGGGAAGAAAAGTATGGAAAAGAGATCCTGCTAAAATTGTTGTGACACAACAATTGTTCTAAGTTTTATAGGCTAAAGTTAAAAAGAATTATTTTATTTCTTCTCCGAAGGGTATTTATAATGCTTTGACTTGAAAGAACAAGTAGAGAATGAATTTCTGAATTACCTAAAGTAGAATGGAAAGATATTTAACCCTTCCATTGGATGCTATTACATCCAAAATGTTTCCTCTTATGGCACTTCCATCCAAGCCGTCCTTTTCCTTCCCTTTATTTCTTTCCTTTCCTTCCCTTAAAAAAAAAAAAAAAAAAAAAAAAAAAAAAAAGTTACTGTTTTGAGAAAATGGTCCAGTCTATGTTTCCTTATTTGCTGTAAGAAATTCTACCAAGATTAGGACCTGTCAGGAGGAACATAAATACAGATGTAGACTGAGTTTTGCTGGGACTACCTTCAGGCTTGCCAAAATAGAGCTAGTTTTGACCAGAACTCAACTCAATATATGTCTGATGAACACCCATTATAAGCAACTAAGGTGTGTACTTTGGGGTCTTGCCAGGGTTATGTGTCATCTGAGGAGGAATGTTAAGATTCAGAGATTTTGACTATAATGCTGAAATTCTCCCTTTTATTCATACTGTTTTGGAACTGGATCTTACACTGTAACATTTTACTTTTCTTGTATGGTCTAGATCAAGTGGATTCCTTCAAAGAATGAATTAATGCATTCTATATCTATTTCTTTTTTCTTTTTTTTTTTTTTTTTTTTT